GTTTCACCAGAAGTCTGTATTTGATAAAGGCTTGAAAGTTTAGGCTCTGAAAAGAGCTGAAATATGTTCTGAGCATGGATTAATCCTTGCTTTGTGTATAAAGCTTTGAATAGCTTTAGGTTGAGAGTTTTTGGAGTATCAGGCTCTTTGGGTGAATGCACTGAATGTACTGCCCTCTAAATGTCGATACTGAAGCAATGCCAAGTCCCAACCAGAGGACACAGATAACTGTACCAAAACGGACAAAAGATACATTTCAGCACTTCGCCCTTGTCTGTGCAGAGAAATCAATACATTTGGCCACCGTGATCAGTGCCAAAACACTTCTGTATGTTTTAACAAAGGGTTAAAGTAGAAACTGTGTAGTATCTGTTTTGCTTGATCTTTGATCCAAGTAGCTGCAAGTGGTTAGTTGGCTTTTCAGCCTCATATTTGCACTCCTGGTACAATGTGATGGCACAGGATTAGATTGCATCTGAAAACAGCCTTCATTAAGATTCACAGCTCATATAAAACAAAGTGGTGTCCTCAAGAATTGTGTATGTGCATTACGTGCTGTACAGCAAATAGCTGACTGTCCCAGCACTGTGGGTTTCTGCTGCAGCACAGGGCTGATGTACTGCTGGTCCTCAGAGCAGATTGCATAACCACCCCCCCCCCAATCCAGTCTGCAGTGGCTCATCGATCGCTGAGGGCAATGCCAGCTAGCTGCTATTCTAATGAATGGCCCTGGAGCTGGACTTAGAGCAGCCAGCCAAACTCTCTGCAGGAGAGAGGGAGACAGGGGAGGGAAGGAGAAAGACAGAGGCATTCATCATCTGCAGTCAGACCACCACATGAATGAACCAAAAGAGCACATTGACTTCTTACGTAAGCTTGAAAAGGGGCTTACTTTGCTCTTTTGTTCACTGACCAGTTTCTCCAACAGGGTGAAAACATTCAGCTGTTACTAAAGAAACAATAAAATATAATCTTCTATCACTGTTAAACACATCTGAGAGCGAAATGAAAGATCTGGATCGTAGCAGTTGCAAAATAATTGCTCATTTCCCTCTCAGTGGCTGGTTGGTGGTCCTTCCTTCTTGATTTAATTTGTCCGGTCGTTTATAATGTACATGTAGGGTTTAGAGGATTGGGAGAGTTTGAATTAGGCTCAGATGCCTTTTGTTATTCAGCAATTTCCTACTGGCACAGAGGCAGGATATGACATGGTTGTCCAGAGCAAAACCAATCCTTTGTTCTGTTGAACATTTTTGGTGAACTGTACTCACGTCGGCCTTGCTCCAGGCAAATATTTCTCTAACAGCTCCTAATTTGCCCTGGCCTTGCATTTTGATACAGTATCTTGGTGTAAAGTGTGTTGCCATGATGTTAACTGGCTTTCATCAAGGTTCACTTTGGGGCCTGCTGCTATTTTTTAGCAAAGTCCTTTAATGGCTGGGGGGCTGTTTTAAGTGAAACCAGCATGTAGCTCCAGACGGGTGGAGTTTTTTTCTGCTCTATAGCTTCAGATGTATAATTTTAGGATCTATTTTTAGCTCTGCCCCTGTTATTTGACTTCTGATAAAAAACCAAAACCCCACTATGTAGGAGGAGGAACCATGAGGTTTGGGGGGTTCACAGCTCCTGAGGTATCAGTCAGTATAAACGTCTTTGCCTCTCAAGGAGAAAATGGTGTTATCTCAAGGCTCGTTTTATTATTCCAGCCTGCTGCACTGTGTTATTTTCACAGTGGTTGTGGTGAGATAGAACAGAACAGAGCAGATACTGTGAGCCCTCTTGTCCCCCTGTAGCCTCAGAGTAAGCCTGCCCTGCGGAAGCACGGCTGCTGCTTGGGGGAGGAGGCGGTCTTGGATCTGCACATGGAAAGTCTGCCCAAAGCCTTCCCCTCCTTTGTCTTTAGCCGCGAACAGCAAGAGTGTCGGTGGCGAGACGAAGAGCGAGATTTGCACAATTCTGGAGCTCGTCGACTCACTGCTGTCCTTCAGAATGAGGTTTAAAAGAAACGGCTCGTACACGTTGAATAGGTAAGCCCTTCTTCACACGCAGGCATCTCGTACAGCAGCGCGCTGATAGACTCCGGTTATTATTACACGGATTTATCTCGATGGTCTGTTTAAATTCTTTATAAATGAGACGTAGCTGAGGGTTTGTATGTGAAGATGCGCCATTTGTTGAACTCGTGCACTTTGGCGTAGCAGCACGGTTCACTCAGGTCACCAGAAATACTTTTTTTTACTCTCGTCTGGTTCTGGCTCCTCCACACGGCGTAAAAGAAAAGACCTGCGACCTTCACGCGTATTTAAAATACTAATAATCTGGTGATGTTCAGTCCTGATCATTTCTTAGTTTACGTCAAATCCTGACCCTCCACGCGCTTCCTCTTTTTTCCCTTTCCCCACTTTAACTCGTAGCCTGTTCTGGCTGAACTGCTAGTTTTGGATGAGTACATTAGAAGAGGGAAACCTGTAGGTCCTGCTGTTAGTGGAAGTCTTTTTTACTGTCTTTTGTTTTATTTCCACTTCCTTCAAAAAGTTAACCGAAACGGACGGCTAGCATCCTCTCATCCATGAAACTCCCTCCCTTCCTTCAGCTCTTACTCATTTCCCTGTACAGACAGACACCTTCTCCTCCTACATTCAGACTCCACATTAGGATCCCAGTCACATGCTCTTTCCCTCCATGCCTCGTCTCTCTTCCCGACTTTCTTTGTCCTTCTCTGTTAGCTACATTGATTTTTTTTTTGTTAAGACTTAATGTAATCTTATTTGTCATGAAACATTTCTATTTTAAACTGCAGTGGGGCTTCTCATTTTAAAGAGTCCATATCCTGTATTTTCCCCTGAGGTCATCTAATAACGTTAGTGAGGTTTAATACAAGAACAGCAGTTCCAAACCTCTCATCATCTCTTAATGTGTATTTGTTCTGATTGGCTGCCTTGTGTTGTGCCTTATTTACAGAGCACTCTGGGCTGAAACTTACACCTTCATTGTGAACAAGCAGGGCTAAACAGCTAGATGTATGTAAATGGGTTGTTTTTTGTGACATCAAAAAAAAAAAAAGTTTCCAAGTGGGCTGGTTTTGCAGCTTAGTTTCCATAAATGGCCTGGAGACTGAATGGTGGATTCTGAAACTTTAATAATATTTGCATATTTAAACTTTTGTTTAAAAAAGGTCAGTTTGGTTTTCCATGATAAGGGCCCAGTAACTTGATTTTTAGCCTTTTTTGGTAATATGAAACCATCTGGTTTTTGTTCCAAGTCATCAGGTCTGTGCACTGGTTCTGAAGAGATCTGCGTTGTATATTATTAGCTGTCACACCCACTGCAGCACAATGGAAAGGTGCTTATCACCAGAGCCCCCAGAGTTAAGAGAGCGGTGCTGCTGTTCTCATATCAGTCTTGAACACTCAGTAACGTAATCGTAGCCTTTTTTTCTGTGTTCTAGTATTATCTGGATATGATGCAGCAAAGTGATGAAATCATCCCCCCATATTGGAGGAGGGAGCTTATTTTAAATATGAGCTCATTTTCTCTTACAGTCAATAAAGTATGCAAAGAACTATGATGTACCAGAGTTTATTATGGTCACTCAAACCGTTTTACAGCCTTCAGTATGAATGCCACCAATCAGACTCAACTTACTCAATTAAAAAAACTACTAGCTACCTGAGCCTTTATGGAGGTGTGCTTGTGCTGCAAGTGATACTAAATATCATTTCTGTTGGCATTTTACTGTTCGACCGTGCGGTATAGTACGGTTACAAATCCGTGATTGCACATTTTCCTGGCCAAATGAACCGTACTATTCCTGAGTACCCATACTGAATTTGGTTACCTGTCTTCCTTGGATACCAGGTGAACCGAGCCAGAACACATGGGTGTGGCTAGTAATGATGCAAACAGCTGTTTGGTCAAACACAACTGTCAAAATGTGACAAACATGATCAAAAAAAACACTAGCTTGTCAAAATTGCTGTCTGTGACTTCACATAAAACCTGATGCAGTAAAAGGTACAGCTGCTCTGTCGTTGATTTTGTTGTTTGTTTTACTGTTAACATTAGATTTGCCTGAGAAATCAAGTGACTACATAAGCTAAATAGAGCTCTGTCTCCTTTTACATGTCTTTTATGCTATCGTAAACAGATTCAGGTACTTGTCTAGGGTACTAGTAGTTCTGGTCTCAAATTTGTAATCATATTGTGCTGTACCATATGGTCCAGTGAAAAAAAAAAACATGGAATTGGAAGACTAAATTCTGAACCTTGGTCTGTTTCTGTAGATTGACTGTCTAAAATCAGTCATAAGAAACAGGTACATACTGCAATATGTGTATGTGATATTCATGTCCAGATAAAGAGAAGTGTACTAGCAATATTGGGATGAAACTCTATAAAAGAAGTGCCAGCTTGTCAGTTCACTGGAGTGTTTTCCTGGAATTATGCAGTCGTAAGGACGGAACTTAGTTTAGCACTGAAATGGATGTTTTAACAGATTCTGATCTTTCCAGTATGCCAGAGAGATGTTCACAGATGAGATCTGTTTTGCATAGCTTAGTGCGGCACTAAGGGTTTGAAGATTTGGGAACAGTTCGTTTTTTTTCACCCTTTTGATTAGTCTGCTGCCACTTTGACAGTACGAAGTTGGCTACTTTTTTTGTCTTTAATTTATTTGTTAAAATGTAATGATTAAAACCAGTAAACACTGGAGAAATCTTTTAGGTCACCAATTGAGAAGGCTGACTGGGCCCTTAAAGATGCCTGGCTAGAGCTCTTTCTGCAGTGGCCAGTCAGCATTTTGCTGCCAGTGTGTTTGCCAACCCTAATGTTTTTGCCTCAAGGGTCAATGCCAGAGAGAGAGAGAGAGAGAGAGAAGGGAAGGGAGGGAGATAGAGAGATGCAGGCAGAGAGAGAGGGAGGGAGGGAGGATGAGAAGGAGGCATAGTTGGAGAGGGGAGGAAAAAGGGGTGGGAGGGAGAGGGAGGCTGGCAATCGCAGCAGCAGAGAGAACACAAGTGCTGAGTGATCGTGCGAGACTGGCTGCGCTTGCCTGCTGTGGACGCTGCTGTTTGTTTGCTGACTGGAGGGCAGTTCTGCCTGCGCCACGCCGAGGGGAACCGCCTGTCGCCAAAAAGCTAACAGCACGCTCTTCACACAGTCTGAGCTGGGATCGAGTGCAGGTCTCTACTGCAGAACTTATTGACGGCCATTATGCTGAGGCTTCACGCTTTGTTGACTGTCCTGCTCACTCACCTGTAGTCTCCTGTGTCCGGTGAGCGAGCGTGAGGGAGGACCGGTTTTGGAACTCAGCCCACAGCCAATCAGAAGGCCAGCTGCATGGGGGTTCTAGTGTGTTGCGATTGCTTCTTTTATAGGTACTAGACTTTAATATTAAATTTGATTATGTATTTATTTACTGTTGAGTTACTTTATTCTTGCTAGTTTTGCCCCAGTCTCTTCCACTCTTTTTATCTGGTGTGTAGGGGTTGCGTTTTGCTTTTGAAGACATTTGAGGATACCGGTTACCCAGGGCCTTTGGCTTGGAGTTTACATGGCAGCAAGCCAGAGTTCTGTGTCAGCATAGCCCATGATATGGGGCTTTTTTGTGGGTTTGAGGGCAGCGGGTGTTTGGACATGGTGTTCTCATCCAGCTCCCCCTCCTCCCATGTATGCCAAGGGCAGACTTTGCCCTGATAAAGGATAGCTGCTGCAACCTCTGGCTCTGCTTGCTATCTGTGCGAATAGACTGTTTTCAGAACTTGGCAAAATGTTAACGAGCCAGCACAAGCATGTGTTGGGATGAGGAGGACGAGAAATGGGGTTACTTTCTTTCACATGTGGTTGGGGTTTTATACTCAATGCAGTATAGTTCTATATATAACCACTTGCTGCAGCTCCAGCGTTTTTGATGATGCTCGCCAAACTGAAGCAGTCACAGCTGTATCTGATTAAAAGCAACAGACTGTAGTGATTCATGGTTGCCTCTCTCACTCTCTCTCTCGTGGGGGAACATGTAGGCCTTTGTGCTTGAGCGTCGCCTGTTCTGTTCCCCTCAGCAGAGATGTTACTTTTAGCTTTTGCCTTGAAAAACCTTGTTTTACCTCACTAACTAAAGTGAGCGATTTTTAGCACTTTAGAGTCACTCTCAGTCTGACTCAGAGTTAATAGACCTTGTATTGGAGGATCTAATTAGTTTTTATTAAATGTTTCAATTGCTCAGACCAATTTCCAAACATAAGTGTAAGCGTGGTATTATTTGTCGAACTTTCTATTTTGGTGTGGCTTAGTGTTTTATGTAAGAACGTAGTCAAAGGCAAATGAATCTTGATTAGGCTGTATATTCACACACGATTCAACGAAGAGTGAATGGAAAATTTCAAATGGTAGACTACAATTGGCAGCTCCTACTATTTCAGTCTAAACATCCTTATTAAAGGGTGGTGCACCGCAACCCACTGTACGTGCACTGTCCTGAGCCATTTCCTGTTTGTGATAATGTAAACAAAGATTTAACTGATCTTAGACTTGTGTTCCTGCTTTCAGCACTCCCTTCTCAAAGGAGCAAATATTAGCTTTAGCAAAGCTGTCTCAGTAGGTGGTAATGGCACATTTGACAAGTTTTAGCCTGGCTTTTGAATAGTGAGCTGTATTATCAGCTGTGCCATCTGACTGGGCCTCTGTTTTGTCTGATGTGCTTTAATTGGTGTGGTTCAGCCATTGGTTCCTGCCTGTCTGCATTCCTCACTAGCTTTGGGCCAATCTCCTGTGACGGTCATCTCCCAAGGTAAAATACAAAAAGCTCTTGGCTAGGCTTTGAATTCACGCCTTAAAGGCTGCTTCAACTGCTAATAAGGCTGAAGCCCATGCAGATGTTAAATACTTCCCCTTTCAAAGGTGAATGACGTTCGTTTTTCCCCTTCTGGCTTTTATTTTATGAGAAAATATAAGAGATTTTATCATGACACATTTTTACTGGTTCTCTGTTTCAGTTTTTAATCAATGTTACTTTTTAGAATAAATCATTAATTAATATGACATTAATATTTATATATCCAGCTCATAACCTAATTTAAATTTTAATCCAGTCAGTTAATAGCTGGATGTATCAAGTTATGTGGAAGACTAAGTGGGGTAGTAAAGTGGGATATCTCCTGTGGTATAAAAACGTGGAGTTACAACATGGTCACTTGTTATGTAAAATGTACAGGAAGTAAATATTTTTAATATGCATGACATTTACAGAGAGCATCAGTGCTGTAAAGCACTTCATTATCATTATTTTCTTTGTTTTATAAGTTTATTATTATTAAATTTTTTATAAGAACTTGATTCTGTGAGCTATACTGTGACCCTTCCTGCACTAAATGGTTCCTGTGTTATACTGCCTAATAATTTTGACGTACAGTATTTTGGCATGTTAACAGTAAAAACCATTAAAATAAATGCAAGTGTCTGCGAAATAAAGGTGATAATTTTGTGAATTTACATTTTATTTCTATAAATTCACATCCACAATGTTAAAATACAGCATATGTACAGTTTATTTACATGCATTTTACCCTTTTTGGGGAAAAATGACCAATCTTTTTATAGTGCTTTAGCAGTAAAAAAAAATACTTTGTTTAAAATTGTAGAAATGCTTGGCACAAAAAGAACATTCCTACTTTGAGTAATGAATGTTACCAGTCCAAAGGAGAGCGACATTATAGAGTATTCAGGATTCTGACCAAGGTGCACTATCTGAGTGCACATAAAAGTAAAAGGAAATGTCAAATTAGTAACACATTTTTCATATTACTGTAATGGAAAGGCATGTGTTTCAAAATTTTTCTTATACTGGGCGGAGACTGTGGAGCAGAAATTTGCAGTACTTGTTTCCTGCCCTTAAACTAGTACTGTCTAATACAAAACCATTGTTTGCTTTTCCTTTGTAGAAACTGGATGTTGGTTGTTAATCAGTGTTTGGATTTGTAGCTACTTAGTCACAGAATGATCTGTATTCCCCCGGACCTCCGTCTCTGTCTGTCTCTCAGTCACGGTATTGCGTAATCCACCCCCTCTGACCGCTATGCTGATCAGGTGGCAGTTGTGTGTGTGTGTGTGTGTGTGTGTGTGTGTGTGTGTGTGTGTGTGTGTGTGCGCGCGCGTGTGTGTGTGTGTGTCAGTGTCTCTCTCTCTCTCTCTCTCTCTCTCTCTCTCTCTCTCTCTCTCTCTCTCTCTCTCTTCCTCCCTCCCTCCCTCTCTCTGCATTTAGAGCTGCAGTGCTGCTAGAAGCACCTGATGTAACCCAAACAGCATTGCTGCACAATCATTCAGCGTCAGCTCCCAAGGTCAGTCCATTAAGTTCCAGCCCCAGCAGCACAGAAAAGAGGCCTCCCCCCATTCTGCACCCACCGGCACTCAGCTGCCTAATTGCCTTGGAACCACACTGAACTCTTAGCAGGTGTGACTCCTTCATTTGTTAGAATGGTCAGTGTTAGGGCGTACAAACCGTGAAGGTATGAGTTCATGGCTAAGTGCCTGAAGATGCTGCTTCATCTCCCTCCTTCTCTCATTTGACATGGTGACGTTCATTGCTCAAAGTGGGAGTGATCTTTTTGCAGTGACAAGCATTTCTATATATATCGCACAGGAACTCCTTGATGCAGGAAAGGACGCAGTATTGCTCGCAGCAGCATGTTCTTGCATAACACTGGAAGGTCACAGGATCCACCCGCCTTGGGAAGATGTCTGTGATCAGACTGTTAGGGCTGCATCCTCACATGGAGGAAATCATTGGGATGGATTGGGAAATATGGTGGACAGCTTAGTGTGAGGGAAATGCACATAATTGTCCCAATACTTCAAATCCACTTGTCTTGTTTTCCACTACATTATACATGTAGCATACCAATGATTCTTCCCATGGATATTAGTGGAGCTGCACTGTATGGACATAAATTCAATGTGCGATGACTATATGAAAAGCAATAAATTGAGATTAAAATATCCAATTTTAGTGTGCAGCTAGTTTGCTACTCCAAGCATATGTTTTGTGCATTGTAAGGCTTTCAGAAAAAGTTAGCATTCCCTGTATGGCTGTTTCTATGTAGACCTACAAAAACAAATGTAATTCCTTAAACAGTTCCCTATGGTGATGCAGGTTTATTGTGACAGTTTTTCCTGCTTCACACATTTTACTTGCAATACTGGAATTAAGAATAGCTGTGAAGTTTGAATTAGTTTTTATAAGCTAGTATTTAAAGAGAGAGTAGTTCAGCAGTGCATGTGGGTTTCCTTTGAAAGCAGCTGGATAGCAAAACGGATAAGACTTTTGTTCTACACATGCAGTGTATATTGATTCCTTCTGTTATCACAGCCCCTGACAATGTTTGGGTTATGTATGTTTTTTTTTATTATCTTGGAAACCCGTATTGCAATGACACTAGACAGTTTTCACAGTTGCTGCATCTTCACATCCGACTGTAAATAGTAGCATTATCAAACAATCCGCCGGCCAAGTTTCAACATGGCCAGTAGGAGAGCAGATAGTGTGTCTGGTAGTTAGCTCTTATGTTCACGAAGGCTATTTTGACTTGGTGGAAGTGTGTTGCGCAAAAGTTGAAAACATTTAAACTTGGTATGACCCTGCGCATCTGCCACACCGTGCACCAAAAATCTGCATTTGTGCCACCCACCCATTGGAAATAATGCGTTTAAATGTGCATCTGTGGATTGTATGCGTTCGGAGTGAAAGCAGCTGCGTTCAGGTGGCTGGGCGTATTCCACAAATAATGTGTGTCGAAACCACAAGGAATCCCCCTGTGACAAATTTTGTGAAGTGGAGCAGATCTTTCTGAGCAGTCTTAGGGGCAGGAAGCTCAAACTTGAACACACATCACACTAAAAGAATAAACTAAAGAACCTAGCACTTACTATGCTTCGGTTTGAGGGGGAAAAAGTCCAGTCCAAGAGAAGTTAATTCTTCCTGCTTAACCCATATGAACCTTAGCAAGTGCCTTAAACACCAAGGGCACATCATATTTCTACACTGAAGTAAACTACTCACCAAGCTACAGTGGCTATCTGTTTCTCAAGGTTTTTAAGCAAACCTCTGATGACTTCCAGATGTAATCTGCCAGTGGATTAATAATTATCTTCAAGCTGTGCATTTTTTGTCCCATGTTCACACTGTAGTTTTATCTACCTTCTTTTTGCTTGGTTACCTTGTAAAAAGTGACGCAACAAGCAAAGCTTTTCTGCTGAAGTTCAGTATTTTTCAACTAGATTGAGTGGAAACTCTGGTAATGATGTTTGAAATATTGGTGCGTTTAGGAATGCTGCAGTGATTCAGGACAGGAGTCTCAGCCACTGTTTACAACGTGACCAGAAGTCA